TGGCATTATGGAATTCACAAATAATGTATACAACTTTAAAATTCACAAGAAAACTACACTGGACTACCTTTTGGAAAATACTCATCAAATAATGTATACAACTTTAAAATTCACAAGAAAACTACACTGGACTACCTTTTGGAAAATACTCATCAAATAATGTATACAACTTTAAAATTCACAAGAAAACTACACTGGACTACCTTTTGGAAAATACTCATCAAATAATGTATACAACTTTAAAATTCATAAGAAAACTTTTCCCTGACTGGTGATGCTAAAATCAGATAAGTTTAAATCAGTATATTTCTAAGTTGTCTTGACAGTTAACTCTTGAAAATATAATGAACAACAATATTATTACCTACATTGTTATCAAATATGATGTTAACTAATAAATAAACATTTAAATGTTAAAAGTCAAAGGGTCAATATAGAAAAAAACTGTTCATTAACTGTAAGTTAATATTAATGAATAGATAAGTATGTTAATTCCTGCATACCATAATTTTACATGAACCCTGTATTCTTTACTTGAAATCCATAAACACTTTTCACTCGGATGTTTCTAGTAATACTATGTGATAATAGTCAACCATTATGGTGTAACATTGTTCAAGTAGTATTGTCACACATAAAGCACATGCACTCTTTGGGAAAATTAACAGTAGCACAGTGAAGGGTTGTAACAAAGTTATTATTGTATGCTTTACCTAGTTATTTGACGTGTAAGTGTACATCAGTAGATGTTCAACATGTATTGAAACTTCAATTACAATTGGCCATTTACTGTAGCCAGTTAATTTCCCTAACTTACTATAACCAGTGAATCATCATGGATATTATAGCTGATATATCTTCTCAATAACATGAATAACTTCTGAGTGCAACTGGTAGAAGTTTGTAAATTACAATTTAAAACATACTGGGCAAATATTGTAACTCTGCCATTATGATCACAGACTATTCTTTAGGCAGAAGGATTATTAAAACACCGTATCCATGCTTTACTGCCACCCACTGTTAGAGAACCGTATGTTGAATAATGTTTTGATTGAAACGAGTACACAGACAGACATATGGATAGTCAAGTAAGTTTACTTCTATAGGGACATTTTATGTTAAAACTGAGCTTATGCCAAGTATTTGGTGACCTATTGAAGTGAACTGAACATTAAATGAATAATTAAAATCTGTTTTTCAGGGTGGAAACATTCTAGAAGATCAAGACCTTCAAGAAATTGGCATTTCGAATGAAGAGCATAGAGAGAGAATTTTGAACTTCAGTAAGAAGTTACAACCTATTCAACCAATAGGAAAAGATGAAGGAAAAATAAGAATGCCAGAATCCGTCAATCATTGGCTAAAATTACTGCATCTTGAGGAGTACCAAGACACTTTCCAAAAGAATGGTTTCACAAATATGGACCGAGTAATGAAGATATGGGAAGTGGAATTGAATACGGTAATACTTGTCTATATTATTAAAATGTTTTATCACACATTTAATCCTCGTAAAATGAAATCTTTGACTTAATGATAAAGATTAATATTAAGACTTGGATTACTTAGAGTAGCCTAAGTTTAAACAGTTGTTTAAATTGTTTACATATTTATGTAAGCTGTTTTCAGTTATATTTTTAGAACACATCTAGTATACCATAGTATAGTAGATACTATACTAGGATATACCTATGTTGGCATGCATCGTGACTTTTTTGGTGATAATTATTTGTTGCGTTATATTAGTAGCCTAAGTTTAAACAGTTGTTTAAATTGTTTATATATTTATGTAAGCTGTTTTCAGTTATATTCTTAGAACACATCTAGTATACCATAGTATAGTAGAGTGTATTATTTTATACTAGGATATATCTATGTTGGCATGCATCGTGACTTTTTTTTTGGTGATAATTATTTATTGCATTATATTACGAGTTGTGCAAGATCCTGAGTTTATATTTATAGTTTGTCTTGTGAAATGAAATTTTATTTGCTGCACTATTTTTATTATAATATGTTTGAAAGATGTTCGGTTATTATCTGTTAAATGTTGTTTCATTTCCATCTTGATGAACTGATTGGTATCTTAAGAGATGCTGAATGTAGAAGAATGGTAAGGTGGTTAGATTATTATCTAATGTTAGAGATGACCAGTGTAAATACTACATCTTGTATTATGTGGCTCTGTTTAAGCTGGCAAAAAAAAAACATCTTTTTCTTTTGTTATACTGGACCTCAATAGCAAACCTAAAAATGTTTACTGATATTAAAGCTATTAGAAACTGACTGGTTACCCCAACATTTGGAAAAATGTTATCCATTATCTGACAGGCTGTGTTTCATTTATCAGAAAGTAGTAATGTTTAGATTTCGAGATGAAAATTAACTGTTTTGTTTTGTAAATAGTAAGTACATAAGCAAGTTAGGTATTCATTCAAATTGTATTTGTTGATCAGCCAAATAAATCATGAAATAGTAATTATCTCTTATTGTGATTGTTTATACAACAGGTATTAGAAATAAAAAAACTTGGTCATCAGAAGAGAATATTAGCATCACTTGGAGAACGAACACCAGAGCAATATATGGGCAACTTAGAAGATTTTGACTTATCAAAATTGGTAAATATCAGTGTGTATTTTCATCAATATTAAGTTGTATTACAATTACAGTTTTTACCCTTAGATTAATGATTTATCTCTTTGAAAAGCTTACAAAATTATTTGAAATCGTTTATTTCTCCTCATAGATTTTTGGTAAAGTCAAAGATGTCCACGTAAGACAGAAACAAAATTTACAATAAGAGTACCTGTAGGTGAAAAAAAAAAAGACAAGTTTGAAGCTATATTAAATTTTGTAAAAATATTTAGTTTCAAAGCATGTTAAAACAGATAAAAAAATTAGAGTAGTAAACTGAAAAATCCATGTTCTTTCAACCTGTTTTGAACAAAAAGTGCATCAAGTGAGCTTTGTGAACGTAGTTTTAAGTTTTTAATTTCGTTTTCTTCACATTCGAGGACAATTTTTGTAAATTCTTATTAATTTCTAAAATAACAATCATTTTTTAATTTTAATTATTATGTTATTATAGACAGCATAAACTACCTAACAAGTGTATGCAGCATAATTTTTTGTACAGAGAAAAAAATTGAATGATTATCATAAAAATTGTTAAAGTATGGAACTGTAAATCTTTTGTAAGAAATAATCATCGATGTGGTATTTATGAATCCACATAATGTTTTAATTTCACACTTTGTGTTACTCCCCCATGGCATTGCATAGAAAATGCATATTTTTTTCTACATTCTTCCTGCTCTTCTGTTGAAACTAGTTATAAGTTAAATCCTTATGAAAAAAGTACCTTTATTTTTCTGTATACAAGAAAATTAGTTTCTGCTAGAATCAAATGCTACATTTTGCTTCATTCTTTAAGTTATTTTGCTATAATTGCATTTGTATTTACGTTCTGAATGTTTGTTAGGGTTACATGACGCTCGTTTCTTTTTTTATCAGTAGGTACATCTATATGATTCGTTTTAAAATAACATGCAAGGCGGTTTGTGTCTTAGGATGTTTGTTTTTTGGAACAAATGACAAAATGAAGCACTGTAAAGATGTTATAATAAAACAAAAAAGAACATTTTTATTTTTTGTGTATATTTTCGTGTAAAAGTATTTTTAGAAAAAAGGAGAAATATATTGCGTTCACCTCAAAAATAAAAATCTGTCTCTATTCTTTAGGTTTTTTACATGGTCATTTTTGCATAGCTGTATTATCAACCCTATCTGGGCAGCCAGGGTGATGTTAGGTCAACTCTGTTTGTGTTCTTTTCACATTTTAAATTCTTAACCTAATTGAATGGAATTTGGTACAAATTTTCTACATGAGTACCTAGTTTTCTGCTTGATAAAAGTAATTTAATTTGGTTTAGTACTTGTATAATATTTTAGGTTGTCAATTTTTGAAAATTTTGTCTTGAAATGCCATTAATACTTTCATCTTAAAGCTTCTTATTGCATACCTAAAATCATGTAAGTACATCCAATACTTATTTGTACAATAAAACTATTTCTACAGGATGACAGGGTCTAAGTAGATATAAATCTATACTCTCGGATGTACAAGTAATCCTAAACAAATCTGTAAGTGTGTTGTTTGCAAGCAATAACCACTGGAGCTGTGAAGAGATCAAAATATCTTTTAAATTTTTCTTTGAGAATGTCATTAAATAAATTAAATACTTAACAGTTAACAAATATAAAGTAAAAAAAAATTTTAAGAGTTGCAATTACTACTTCAACTTAAATTCTGAATATGGAAGTGTGCCCTCGACTCATGAAAACTGTACTATGTACGTTGTGAGGTTAAGGGTAATTTTTTTTTCTTGCCAAAACAGAAGTTTAATGGAAATGTTAATTTCAATTCTGTATGGTCTGAAAGACTTTAAGCAGTTTCTAGTTTTTGAAAGTTAAGTAAATGTATGCATATTTTAAAAGATCTCTAGTTTTAACATATCCTAGTTAGTCTATGACCACCTGAGGCATATTAAGGTTTCAGGCGAGATTGCATTGTACTACTTCATCCATGTCAGGTTTTAGAATCATCTTGCGTTTGTATAACTATTCGGGCAACATCAGGATTTTATGTAGGGTCATTGTGTTTGTATCAGTAATTTCAGGTTTTCATTTTAATTTTTCAGATAGTAGAAACAACTACTGAAGCTAATCCTATCTGTGCTAGCTATCCCTAATTTTGAATTGACAGAATGGAGGGAATGTAGACAGTCAACAGTACCCACCACCAACTATTGTCTAACCAAATAGTTGGATCTTATTGTCATCCTTATAATGCACCTACACTCCCACAGTGAGAAGTGCTATTTATTTCTTGTAAAAAGACACAAATAACAGACCCATAGATCGAAACCCGGCACAGTAACCACTGGACCATACGGTTAAGTACAACTTATTTGAGCAATTTGTATGTGATAATACAATGAAGTGTCATTGCACGGGTGAGCCCTGATGCCCTGTTCAATATGTTTAGCACTCATGTTTTGTTCATAGTGAATTATGGGCCATCAGTTGAGGTCATCAGGGACTTATTACAATTACAACCACTTTGTCTCTAGCTGTACTTGTAAACTTGAGTAACTTGAAGTATAAACTGAGCAAAGTTCAGACTATGAGGAGCCAAAGCAGCCATTGTTAGTCTGTTAACCAGATAATTCAAACTGTTAGTCACAAATAGCAGCAAATAAAATTGCATATGTAAGTTTTGTTTTGATTTTCTTGTATTTTTTTGAAAGGGTGCCATTGAAGCTTACTACAGGTTGATTCATGTTTGAAAAGACATATGTACAAATTATCAAAAAAAGTTATTATTACAGCAAGATTGCTAAACGGTGTAGAACAAAAGGATACAACATTTCAAACAAGAGAATATACAGTGTTTTCCAAGGAAGTGAAAAACTATCCCAGCAAAATGTTATGAACAGCAACAGGCTGTGAAGCCACATTTCAACCCAGTTCAAAGCAGTGCTTTAATTCACATAGTGAAGGCTAAGGTTAGGAAAGGGAACCCTCCAACCCAAAAAAGTCATTGAGATGAATTTAAACGTATTCTTTGGTACCATTAACAAAGATAATAGATAAGGACTTGAAGTTTACAGAGGCTCACAAACCATAAAATACACAAGCTTCCAGCCACACCTTGAAATCACTGGCTATTTTCATGAAAAAGATGGCTAAAGAAACCAGAATTAAAGCAGTAGCATAGGACAAATTTCTTAAATCCTCTGATGTTGCTCCAGTGGATTTTTTTTTCTGTCTTTAGTCACCTTAACTGTGGTTTTGGAAGCTGATATCTACATATGGTAGAGAGTTTGTGTAATGTTTGGCAGTGTCTTTATTTAAGGTTGGCTACATAATTTCTTGCAAAAGCTTACTGCAATGAAATTTGCAGTGTCAGGCAACAGTGCATAATAGTGGCAATCAGCTCGAGTATGTATAACAGTGAACGAAGTATTTCCAAAGGCTGCAAAGGTCTTAGAACGTTGTTCCTATCTGACTTAATTGTGTATGTGCATGCTTGCATACCCGTATAAAATCACCATACATAATATATTGCTTTATTAAAAACAGTTGTACCTGTATATGAAAGTTTGATACGACTCCACTTGTTACAAAACGAAGCTAATATTGCTCAAACACTTATACCCATAGGAAGTGACACGGTATTAAACCATGATGCGTCTCAAGTAGATAACCCTTCATATTGCTTTTGTTAATATCTAAAACTGTTTTATTTCTATGTTTCTCTCTTTTTTTTTGTATATTAGAATTCAAAGCTTAGTGAACTAGGTATCGAAGAAGCACCTTCTACCGAAGTTTGCAAAGAAGATGCGGGACTGTTTAAAGACTACACTAATGTTACATCTACAAGAAGAGAAAATAAAGGCTCACAGTCATTAACACAAACATTAAGTGGGGATAAAGGAGAACTGAGAATTAGGCCACCTACACAGTTAATGAGTGAACAAGAATATGTAGAGACATCTTCATCTCGTCAACAGATTAGTGGAGTACCTGCATGCTTAACAGCACAGTGGTGTCACCAACCTGATGCCCTAATTAAAGGACATTGCATCTATAAAGCACAGGTGAGAGTTGAGTATATTCAGTCATTAATGTATTATTCCAAACAATGTATATCCTTATATTAACCCTATGTGTAAAACAGGTTTGGTTGAATTCCACCCAAAATGTAATTAAAAATCTTTATTATCAATGTATACCAGTAAACGTGACATTGAAACATAGTTTATAATTCAGATTTTAATATCATATATATATAAGTTGATTTCTTAATTTCATAAAATATATTTAAAAAATTCTCCATCTTCACTTTTCTTTGTCACATGAAAATATCTATCTTTGATTTCTACATTTCATAATTATCTAACATCACAAATAGATTGCCGATGCTTCCAACCAATTAGAAACAGAAATAATATAAAATTTGAATCTTCTACCCTTTTGGTTTGCTGAGATATCAATAAATTTTTAAAACCCAATAATGAAGCCCTTCCCATTTTTTTCATGCCAGTTTTCAACATCAAACTACTTGTGTGATGGACATGCTTATAACCAATAGAAAGAGCATATTTTAATGTGCAGTTTGTTTGTATTGGGCAGTTAGAGACAATAGTTTACAAGAAAGTCTTGATGTGTGTTGAGTAATGTCATTGCTCCTAGCAGTAAAAGAATTATTTTAGCCTACTTATAGTTTAGTTAAAATGCCAGATGAATTATAATAGTTTTGGAACATTCTATTCTAGTGCCTAATAATTTTTTTGTGCTCTAAAATATATATTTGAAAGCTACATAAATTAGTTTAGACAATCAGTATGTATATATATATATAGATAAGAAAAAAAGTAGGGTTAATGAAACACAGGATTTGAGTGCCTAAAGTGCTAAATATCCTGTTTGTTTGTTTTTTTATGTATAATTTTTGTTTACTGTTATATATTATTATCAAAAGTATCTTTCCCCCCAGTGGCACAGGGGTGTCTGCATACTTACAACGCAATGCTAGAAACCAGAAACCGGGTATCCAAAACCTGTGGTGGGCAGAGCACAGATAACCTATTGTGTAACTCTGTGCTTAACTTCAAACAAACAAACAAAGTAACTTAATACAAAAACTTAGCTTAGGCAACAAAAAATAAAATCATTTTAAAATTTTATGAGCTTAGGAACCTGAGCTTGCAAGCTCAAACTATATGTAACTTGATCAGTTTGCTTACTTTTATCTAGGTGTGTGTGCCTGTATAGGGGGGAGGGCTAGATATGGGCTATCACTATTACTTATTGCTCTTCCTGGAGTAATAAATAGCCTCCCTTAGCACAGAATCTGGCAATAAAACAATAAGATTAAAAGAAAACAGATGCGAAAAAGTTAACAGTTGAAACTGTGGAGATAATTATATTGAAGATAGAATAAGAAAAAAAAGGATATTATCAATTTTGTTTCACATTTCTAAACTTCCCCGTATGTTGATGAATTTTCTACATTTGATTATAGAATAGAGAAAATAACAGATGACATATAATGTTTCATCGAAACAAACTTTTGATATTCATTTACGAGGCTCCAGAGGCTATGCAAATGAAATATGAGATGTGTAAGATGAACACCAAGTATTTTTTATTCTTAACATTAAAGGCTTTATAAACTCCCAGACAAGTCTTTTTTAGAAATACTTTAGTATAAAAATAAGATTTTTGTATATAATAGATTATTTTTACTAAAAGCTTGCCAAATTTTGTGAAGACATGCTCAGTAAATTCAGAGTTATAGTATGTATAGTTTCACACTTCCAATGTAAGTCAAACTGATCTATTTCATACTGAAAAAAGTTAGAAACATTGTGTGGGGCTTTCTTATTAAACCAATTTCACATCTAGTCAAACAATAGTAGTTTGCTATTATCTTTAGCTTCAAATTACTTAGATCGTTTTGGTTTCCTGTTACACGTAACTTTAAAATACAGGCATCAAGGAACCATTTGGCCATTCACAGCTGTCCTTTCACACCCTACTCTGGGAAAAATCAATTTTAATATATTCTTTATTTTTAATGAGATCATGGATTCCCCTCTTAAACTCTTGTTAAGTATTGGCCTTCACTACTACACCAACAACTAATTCCATAATTCACCCATCCTGTTAAAAAAACAAAACTCTACTAACTAGAGCTTAACTTTACAAAATCTTAAACTTGCAAAAATCTGGATCATCCAATGATTGGGGTCTTTGCACATATGAATGGTAGGTTTGTAATGTGTGCTACTTATAAGTATGAGTGTGGAAATGTCAGTTGTAGTTTCTAAAAGGCTTGAATTCTTACTTGAAATCTGAAAAGTGAATTTATATGATAGGTGATAAGTTTCAACATTGTGAATGAAAAGTTTTAGTTCTTTGTGTCCAGTGAAAAGATTTCTAATGTCATCAATATACCTGATAAAAATGGCAGAGAATTTATGAGTGCAATTACTGTAAGTAATTTTATCTAACTTAAAATTTTCTAAATCCATCTATTTCTGTAAATGAGTAATTCCATTTGTACTTATAATT